ATATGCTCTTCAAGCAACTTACAACTGCACTGATACGGTCTCTAGGTTCATTCTGTATTTCAGGTTTAAAATTGGGTCATCCAATTAACTTTTAATATGGCACAGCACAACAGGAATGAAAGCTACAGATATCTGGGCAAAGGCTGGAACTTCTTTTACATAACAACTTCTTTTACAGAACTTCTTTTACATAACTTTGGATACTGCTGATAGCAGCTAGAAACTACCAACATAAGAAACCTTGCCAGGACAAATGATACCATTTATCCTCTCAAGAGAGAATTTTCTAGTTCCTCTGTATTCTGTTCTGCAGAATTCTTATTATTACTTTCAATGCCATGAAGCAGACACTAATGATTAGGACAGCATTCAGAAAATTACATTATCTGTCCAGGCACTTCATACAGTTCCATCTAGATGTTAGGTTCCTAATTCTAGGGGTGGAAGACACAGGAATCATCTTAAGTATTCAAATGTGAATATCCACACGGAAGTTGGACATTTAAACTGACATTCACAACAATGAGAAAATAGTACCAGCATATGGAGCCTGGAGGGGAGCATCACTCAGGAAAAGAAAGTCCTTGTCTGCATGGTGCCTCTGGGAAACTGGGACCATGAGATTTAACTTCCTTACTTAAATACCTCCCCTTACTTGGAATTCACCTTTCTTTCTTATACCTTAATCTCAACTCCCTCCAGGTTTGAATACACTATTTTCAGTCATTGCACACAAGGTGGGAATAGTAATTCAGCTCAGATTAAATACAACCAGATTTTTTTTTTTCTCACCAAAATATGTTGAAACTTTCAGCCATGAACACTGACCCCTCTGGAAATTATATCCCTTTCAAGTGTTTCAGGTTGCTTACTACAGAAATCTCCAGAGGTTACTGCAAGCATTGCTCTGGGAATTGGAGGGGTAAATAAATCACTGTTATTTCTGCCACAGCAGTGGCATGAGACTGAAGGAGATGAAATTTTCTTGTAAATTCTGGAAAGTGTATGTGATATGCGAAAGATCAAAGCAAAACAAACAAAAAAAGAAGTCCATGCAGAATATTAGGAAAACAGCTGAAGAGACTGATAGCAGTAATTATGCCATTATTTCAAGTGGGCTGAACAAATCCCACACTCTCCAGTGTACTCAATGCTCCTCTCTCCATAGTCAGTATGCTACCATGCTTCAGGAGACGAATAGTTTCCTGAATTTTCATCTATTGCATAAGATATATTATAAAATTAGCTTAGTCCACTGTTTTCATAAATGTAGTTCTGCAAATGTCTCCTTTTTCCACACACAGTGTCAGTACTCCCTCTCCACACAGCAGGATAGAGGCCATGTCTGAAGGAGAGACTAGATGAGGGGTGGAGGAAAAGAGGACCAGTCAGCAAGAAGCTATGACACCACTTGTTCCTTACAAAGCAGCAGCACCAGTGAATGAAAAATGTCGTACTTCCCCTCCCCTCAGCACATGCCATTACCACAGGCCAATGCTCAGCTGTGTTCAGCAGAGCTTTTCTCTACTGTATAGCATTCAGATGAAAAAGCTCAGCCTTACACTGTCAGTCATTTATCCCAGAGCACTGCCATTCTAGCTACAGCAATACAGCTTTTCAGCTTTGGCAACAGGAAAGCATGTATCCCCTTATACAATGCATTATTCAGAAAAGCTCTCTTTCCCAGAGAGGAAAAAATTCCTTGCAGCAATTTTGCACAAATAAACAACAGAAGTTTCTCAAATTATCTTCCAGATTTCTGATGCGGTGCTCTGTTTTTTCACTATTTATGTCTCATGTTCAATTCTCAAAACAAAAGCTGTGCAGAGATGTGAAAGATGTATGAAAAGCAGAACAAGTTAGGAAGAAACTAGTAAAAGACTGATTTAATGCATTTTATTTATCCATCTCCATTTCTACCTGAAGAGCAGTCACCCCACTGTCCACAGAAGAATGGATATTTCCCTCAGCTGCACACTGTAACCCCCCCAGGGTGACATCACCCTCACTGTGTCCTTTTAGATTTTCCTGCTGCAGCTCCCTTAATTTCTTCCCCATCACCCCTCGCCATTGTAGGAGTTATGGCTTTATCAAACAACAGAGACATAATCCATCACAGCAAATGAGCCCTCATGTTGGATTCCTCAGGTTAGCATTATGAGGAATACACCTCCATAATTTCACATGTAATACAGGAGTCCTTTACTAAAAATGCCACTCTGAACTTGTATCCTGGATGATTGCCAGCCCCACTGCAGCTTGTTTATTCTGCTGCTCACAAAAATTAGAACACTAACAACAAAAGAAAAAATCCTACTGAATGAAGTGCTGATTCTTCCTGCATGTGCAGAGCATTCCCAACTTCCCTTCAGCAATCAAGCCCAAGACATCTTTCTGTTCCCTGGCTCTACATTACTGAAGTTCAGCTGTAGAGTAGACTGGTAAAAAGTATAGCATTCATCTGTCCAGTTATATTCAGGGTTTGTAGGAGGCTTTTTTCTTCCTCCTCCTTTTCTGTTACTGATCCATAGGCCCTCCTCCCTTGTATATCCTTGGATCATGAAAATTCACTTCTAGGGGCAGAAAGTTTGGGAAAACTAATGAAAGACAAACTACAGGCACAGAATATATCTCACTATGTGTGTTCAGATGACAACTTAAAACTAGGGCTAGGTTAAAAAAAACCCAAACAAAAACCAAATCTTTAAGCAGAACAAAAGTAAACCACTATGATAACTTTGAGGACTTAAAACTCCCTTCCTATACACAAATGTTCTTTGATTACTCTCACAGCATGGCACAGTGCATCAGCACTTAATTCATCACCCTCCTCTTCTCCAGTTTCTCAGTGGCTAGAAGGCTGGTAATGACAGTAACTTCTGTCTTTGTAACACAAAATGTTTCTCTTCCCCGGACAAGCCTGCACTCAGGAGTCCCTTGTTAGTGAGCCTCCCCAAGCATCAGCACAGCAAGAATCATTGTCTTTGTCCAATGAACTTTTTATTGGGAAAGCATTTGGCAAAAACACTGCAAAACCAGTCCTGCAAGTTCTTAAAGCAACCAAATAGCCACTGCACTGCTAACTGAATCCCTCTTCTCTGTAGTTAGAAAGTCAATAATATAGATACATTATTTCTTCTAATCAAGAATTTTGGATGGTACTGGAGAATTCACTTACTCTGCACATACACCTACAGGGCAGCACATAATGCTGAGGAAGGAATCACCCAGTGGCCCTCTCTCCAACGTGCACAAACACAGGGCTGCAGATAATGTTCCTACAGCCGCCTAACCATGAACAGCATGGAGCAGCACATATCAGCACAGAAGTACATATTTTCCCTGTTTCTAAAACAATAAATTTGCACTTAAACTGACTTTCCATTTTTAAAAGGGTCTGAAATGGCTATTAGAAATCTATAACCAACTTGACTCCTAGCCGATTACTATATGAAAATCTTAGCCCAAAGAAAAAATAGCTTTGCTTGGTTCAAGCCACATTTTTATTGTTTGAATAAAACTTGGGTGAATTCTATTTTCATGTTACAATGTCAATAATTAACATCAACTTGGATTAAGAGTTGAAGGATTCAATTATATAAAGCTGGAATATTAACTGCATTACAATTTGAACTTGACATTAAGAATGAGCTGGACTTCAATTTAGGAATATAAAAAAGGTCTTGAAAAAGGATTTTATGTGTTTTCAGAACACATTCTGCAAGACTGCACAGTAGGTTAAGATACAATTTACTGCTTTTGATAGAAAAAAAATCAGTAACTGCATCTAACTTGCTGACAGTGACCTCTATTACTATACATCATGCTGAAATTTCTGTACAAGACCATAATTTTCCACCTAACAATTCCAGAAAACCTCAAAACACTGATCCTTGGTTTTCAGGACAAATAAATTGAAACTCCAGAGTGCAGCTTTTGAAGGGGCAAATGAAGTAAGAAAACCTAGCTTTTAAAAATGAAAACTAAAAACCATTTTGTATTCACAAATCTAAATGCACGACTTCAGAGAAATAAGAAGACATTTTAAGTTAAACTTATCTCAATCTGTGTGCAGCATTGTTTATGGATAACAGTACCTTTCATTTCTTTTACTAATAATTGCATACCTGTATGTACCCAGGAGGAAGATTTGCTTAAATGAATTTATCAAAGTGTTATCATAGTATTTGCAATGTATATAATGTTTTGCTAGTTACTATAGGTTGCTTAAGGAAATACTATATACTAGAGCCAGATCTATTTAGGGAACTTACAGAAACTTTTCTTCAGTTATTCACGGCCTTGTCCCGATGGGCCTGAATCCCGTGTCACGCCTATTTACTTCTTGCCTTGTAGTATCTTCTGCCATTTTTAATCATGGAGATTTTGTTTCCCTGAGCATTCCTTACCTATGATTTTGGAAAAACAGGTACAGCTGTTCGCCCCCTCGGAGGCGGGGTACCCGCACAGCCTCAGCGCAGCGCTCCTAACCGCGCTGCCGCCGCGCCCGCAGGCAGCCCCGGACCCGGCTCACCGGGGCTGAGCCCACCTCCCTTCCCGCCTAAGTCCGCGGGGTGACAGCAGACTTCGCTGGGGCCAAACCGGCTCCCGGCGACAGCGATAGGCCCTGTCAGCAGCGACTCGCTAAGGAGGTGACAACCCCTGCCCCGCTCTGAGCGCCAGAGCGAATTCGCAAGGCGAATGGCGAACGCCATTTCGAAGCCCTTCTCGGCTGAGGCGCGACTCCCACCCCAGCCGGCGGCGGGCGACCCCGCAGGGCCTGGCGGAGACTGCCGGGAGCTGGGCACACCTGAGAGACGGGGCTCTCTCTGTCGGCACGGAGCAGCCGGCCCAGCCCGCCCGCAGCCCGGGCCGAGCGCGGGGGCGGCAGCGGCCCCGCACTGAGCGGCGGCGGGGGCGGTGCCCGGCCCCTGAGGCAGCGCGTGCCGCCCCTCAGGGCGGGCGCGGCCCGGGGCTCCCGGAGCGGGGCCCGGGGCAAGGGGAGGGTGAGGTTCAGTGAGCTTTGACAGAAGTAAAACCCACGCGTAGATGGGTATAGCTAGCAGCATCGCTGGGAGTAAACGCCTCAGTCCCCCTGAGGATTCACTTAATTGTGTAAAACAATGAATTGCGAGCACAGCTCCGTCTGTGCTCTGAGAAATGGGTCCTGGTGAAGGAAACAGTTTTATAAAGCATGTCTTCCCCTTAAGGTGTGAGGACAGGAAAGAACTCCCGTCTTTGGGCTTCTCCTTTTCTACCTATTTGACTTGAGTTCGGTCATACCCAATTTTCAGGTTGATGAGAAGAAATTCAGGTATGTATTTACCTTTGACATTTTTCTTTGTTTACAAAAAATCTTAGAAAATCGGGAGGTTATTCTTTTGCTCGATATGCCGATGCTTTTTCCAAGCGAACACATCACGTACGCTCCCTGTCACTCAGCTTCCTGCACCAGTTCTTTGGCTTTTGCCAGCCCATCATGAGCCTCCTCTGGCTCCTGCACCGCGGCTGTGACTGGCCCCGCCTCATTCAGCGCTACAGAGAGCGACCGCTCCATGCGCCAGCTTCGACACGGGCTGACTCACTCCACAGCTTCAGTGCCACTTCAAACATGGTAGTCGTTCTCATCTGCATTTAACAAGTACGCTGTAAGCTTCATGACAAATTAAAAAAAATAGAAAAAAAAGAATAAAAAAAGGTAGGAGAGCTTTATATCCATAAATCTTTTCATATTGATTTAAGATGCAAACTTTTAAAGACTGAGGACCAGCGGATTTCTCTGCAAAACTCTTTCAGTACCACCTTTAAGTGAAACTACCATTGTGACCAAGGTGCAGTAATTTATTTTACCATCTTTTGATTAGTGAATTCTGTGCTTTGTAATCTTATAGATACACTTTTTCCCCGTACCATCCACATTCTAGTAAATTATGTCAAGATAATCCTTTATCAAAACTGAAAATAACTGATGTCAAAACCTTGATTCAGATGGTCAATAGAAAATGTGAATCCTAAGCATTTTCTGAGTTTAGCCCATCACAGCATTAGAAAGAATCTGAGGTGGTACAAGAGTCTCTAAAGTTTTGCTGAGCATGTCACACTACTGTTTTGTTGAAATTTTGTCAGCAATTGTAAAATCACAGAATCAAAGTTCAAAGAGTCCCAGAAGGATCATTAAGCCCAACTCTTAAGTGAATAGCCCTGTTGTATACAGAATTATATAAACAGTGTGACAAAAAATATAGACAGAAAATAGTAATATAAGACATGCATCTGACCATTAGAAGGTTGTTCAAGGTGGATCCATATATTTAATCCTATATGCCTGGAGTTTACAGAAGTTATACTTTAAAACATTAGTTGTGCATGAGGTTCTGAAATGTGAATATTTCTTACAGTATAAGAAGCATCAAGATTCAGCAAAATTAACATATTCGTGCAGTATTCTGCATGTATGCCTTAAGTGTTCCTCATTATTCTAAAGAATTTATTGATAATCAAAACCAGAAGCTCTAAGTATTCCCACATTTCTCCCAGATTCTTATGTTAGTTTTTGAACCATAGGAATTTCCTCATATATTGCTACATAATTTTGGCTCATGGAATCTAGACCTTTGTGAGTTCTGTTACAAAACTAATTTGTTTCATCATTTTCTTTATTTATCTTCCTGTACCTACTTGTTTTGTTCTGATGCTGATAGTTTTGTTGTCTTGTCCTACCAGATCACACAGGTGCTACTCCAGTTTTCCTTTTTTAGCTTTTAAATAAATGCAAATGCACTTTGTTTAAAGGTTGCCACCATTTTGAAGAAAACAAACTGTGCAAGAGGGTGGGTAGCCAAGATATTGTGGCAGTTATGTTTTTAAACTGACATCTGAAATGGCTTTATCTACTTTTAATGTGTCTGTGCATACTTGTATACAAAGACTGTTGCCCTAGCTGAGACATCTAGCTTTCTTCTCTTTTGAACCAGTAGAAGAAAAATCCTGACTAGGAAACTACTGCATTACCTGAATACTGAGGACAGAAAAGTCTACTGCATGGATCAAAACAAAAAACAGCAAAGGGGATTGAAAAGGAGAAAACCTCCATTCAAAAAATCTTCAGTAGTGAAGGAAATTAAGTATCAGCAATATGAATGTAGGAGTGGGTTCCACTGTCTCTGAAATCAATGGAAGCAGTGAGAAAAATATTGGAGCTTTATGCAAAGATAATTTAAAGAAGCCATCAGCTGCAGAGTATTCAGATAAGGACCACAGAAGTGCACCAAAACAACAGAGGCAGTAGCCCAGCATTGAAGAGTAAATACACTTGCATCAGGAAACAGCAGAGAAGCGGTTCAATAGTGTAACAGTTCTAGCCAAGACTGAAGTGCAAGGTACATAACCCTAGTTCAGCCCTTAAAAATCACAAGCACAAACTGCAGACTTCAGGCAGACATTTGGAAACAGAAGGGGGGAGATGGAATGTCTGGTGTAGGGATAGCAGTGAAATGTAAATAGCATTGCTGACCTGAAGTGACTCGGAATTATACTGGATTCATTCCTGATTAAACTCCAGATAAAGGTGAGTCAATGACTTTTATAAAAGCCACCAACAGAAATACACCTAGAAGAGCCTACACACTGTATACTCTAGGTACCAATAGCCACGGAGTCCAGCTGGCAATGTGTACTACAAGTCCTATGAGGAACAACTGAGGGAGCTGGGGTTGTTTAGCCTGGAGGAGAATCAGAGGCAACCTTATCATTCTCTATAACTTCCTGAAAGGTAGCTGTAAGTCAGGTGCAGGTTGGTCTCTTTCTCCAGGCAGCAACTGACAGAATGCCAGGACAGAGTCCTAAGCTGCATCAAGAAAAATATAGGTTGGATGTTAGGAGAAAGTTTTTTACAGAAAGAGTGATAAAAGTACTGGAATGGTCTGTCCAGGGAGGTGGTGGAGTCACCATCCCTGGATGTATTTAAAACAAGACTGGATATGGCACTTGGTGTCATGGTTTAGTTGAGGTATTAGGGCATAGGTGGGACTTGATGATCCTGAAGGTCTCTTCCAACCTAGTGATTCTGTAATCTGTTCTGTAACATTACCCAAGTACTGTAAAATTACTCTTTATTCTGCAGAGCTGGAGTGTGATGCTCCAAGAGTAATCCTTACTCTTACTTTGTGAAGCTGTCTTCACAGAGGCAGAAGTAGTGTAACTGGGAATGCCATTACAACATCTCATAGCTAATTCTTATTTTTTAATTATCACAGAATCACATAATAACCTGACTTGGAAGGGACCCACAAATATCACGGAGTCCAACTCTTAGGTCTACATGGACCATCCCCAAGAGTCACACCATGTGCCTGTTGTTACATGTAAATCTATGCATTTACCCTTAGTGAATGAACATCTGAGCAAGTGAGTGTCCGGTATCACTCAATGCTAAGTCTGAGCACACAAGACATTAACAGTCAGCTGGAAGGTGAATTTATCCAAATAACCAAAGTGCCTTCTCCTTACACTTTCCCACAGGCAACATTTTACCCCCCACTATAGTAAAGAAAATTAAAAGCTGCAGAGGAGAGAGTAAAACGAGATGGTATTTCACATTAAGAATATCTTATGCAAATTCCCAATTATGCTGTACACAATAGGAGTGCTGGGTAAGATGTATCTACAGTTCTTTATTTGCTGTTTTTCTTCTTCCAGCTAATGAGTTCCCTTAGTATTCGAAATCCATCTTTGCTGCCACACACTTACAAAGGTAAATCACTTGAATGGGCTGAGCTTTCTTCTATTTATTGTTGCTAGGGAACCACCTTGGTATTCACAGACATAACACATCTTTTGACATATGTTTCAGAGGACAAGATGCAACACAGCTCTGCAATATACAGTGAAAAAATGTACTGCAGTATTCTTGGAAATGCTCTCCCGCAGAAGAGCACTTCTACTGTACCTTAGCTTCTCATTGCTGTGGATTTCCTACTTGTCTGTTTAGACAGACTGGAATTGTAAAATTGCATGCAGTAATTTGATTAATAGTCCCTAATTTTGCTCAGGATTAAAAGAGAAAAAACACTAGTCTGCGAATTAAGTGTTGCTAAAATAGCATCCTTCTAATTTTTTTTTTTTAAATACTCTTGTATAAGGGAAATGTCAGTAAGAAGTCTTGCTATTAAGTTATGTAACAAAAAAATACCCAATCCAAGTAGGGAGAAAGTGGAAGTGTGACCCTATTTCTGAGTAGCCAGGTATCTGGAGGTTATTTGAATTACATCAGTCACCTGCTGTGAGTATTAGTCATACAAATACTGCACTAAGTATTGAAAGGCAATAAGCTTCTTTAACTCTCAGAAAGTACTTATTTCTTGAGATAACAGCTTTTGGCAGGACAAAAAAGATGATACAGAGATATTGAAGAGGTATTATTCTGTCCAGGATCATGTCCAACCATGGGAAACAACCCCATTTTAGTTTCCTGTTGATTTTGATTACTGCCAACATATCTGTGTGAGGAAGGAGATTTGAGGTTGAAGGCAGCAAAGTTTGAAAAAATGCAAAAAGCAGGAACGTGAGACATGCAAGGGCCATATCTCACTTAAGTTCTGGGTGCACATTTCTATTTATTGACAATAGAAAACCCTACTGCCTGGATTTGCTTGAATACCAGTTGATATAACATTATAGAGTAGAACTTACTGATTCAAACAGGAGGTGCTCCTGTTGGATAAAGGACCTTACAAGTTGAGACAAAACAAGCAGGATAAAGCAGACAGCTACAGAACCTAAAAGAAACAATACTTAACAGTCCCTTCAATTGTCCTGAAGATCTTAGTTTAACAAAGCCTACATGTCTGTATTTTATATCATGTGTATGTGTACACCAGCATTGTCACAAAGTACCTTGTTGCAGAGCTGAGATTAAAATACCAGCTCCATACTAAACTCTCTTGAGAACAATGGGAAATTGTCCTAGAACAAAGGCAGTTTCTTTTAGGGCCTGTGGAGAAAACTGGAAAAAATGCAGTTAAATTTTCAAAGCTGATGTGTGACAAACCTAAAATGACCAGCACCATAGAGCACAAAAGCAGCCAATCTGTACAAACTAATTTTCAAGCTGCACCCCCCTGGCTATCTCTGCTTTAAGTACCCTGAGAAAATCCAATTTATTCGCAAAGTGTTGCCGTACAGTTGCAGAGGGCTCTGCAGCTGGTTTAGGTTTCTTTTCTTGTGTAGTACTACACAAAGCAGTTGCATATACAACATGGAGACAACAAAGGCACGAAAGAAAGGAGAGCTCCAGTCTTTCAAGGAAACAGAAGGAAAGTAACTTTTCACAGCAAACTGTATTAGTGGCTTCAACTGCAAGGTGCAAAGTATATTCCTTGACACCTGAAAAACAAAGACTCATTATCTACTTAAGGTATTTGCCAGTATTACAAGTAATCCCTGAGAACATGTTGTTCTGATTTGGCAAGTGCTTCAGTATACACTTGTGTTCTACATTCAAATGTGACCTGTGCATATCTGGTCACCAGATTTGAGGCCAAAATGTAGGGACAGTAAATATTTGACCTATACTTTTCCCAGTATTAGGCATGAAGAATACTTGTTTTTTTCCAGCTCTAATTAGGTTATCTTGCTTTAACATTAAAAAATAAATCCATCCATGAGTAATAAGTCCAGCATAATTGTTTTCAATCGAAATTATTAAAAAACATAGTAGTAAGAGTCAAAGGTACCCTGTAACAGGAAATGTATTAGACATTGCAGTATGAGAAGAAGCAGGGTAAGCTACAAGGCTGAAGTCACAGCAGCTTCTCAGTGTAAGAGAATTTGCAGGGAAACTACTGCCCATCTGAGAAAACATGCAAGTAGGGGCTTTGGGCACTCTGCCTACCAAAAGGAGACATTCATCAGCCCAGCAGTACAGATCTCACTGACTGCAATGAGCAATCTCACTCAAACAAAAACAAACTCAACACAAATTGTCACACAGAGCCAGCCTCATCCGATTACGTGCACTTCCTTATATCCTGTGGCTGTAATTTAGAACTGTGAACCTCCACACACTGGCACAAGTTATTCCTGTGGGTTTCTTTGCAAACAGCATAATTTCATTCTCATCTATGCTAATAGTCAGACAGGCCCCATTCATCACTGCCCCCACCTCTGAGGAAAGAAATTGAAAAACAGGACAGCAGAATCTGGGTTAGATAAAAATTAGATAGAAATCATACCAAGATCACCACAAAACTCAAGTCTCCTCTGGCAGCTATGTACACAATGTGAACTGATCTCATGTGATTCTGAAGTAAGGAATAACATTTGTCAGATACTGTACGAAAAGATCCTATTTTTAAAAGAAAAATGTAATTTGATTGTGAAATACTGCAAGTTATAGAAGATTCCATTGCAGACGTGATGAAAATATTCATAAAAAAATGCAGGTCACCACTGAAAGGTCAAGGCCAAAAGAAGCCTGTTCCACCAAATCTCTCAAAGGTCAAAAGAAAAGAAAAAACCTAAGACATAAATATTACATTCATCAAATTGAAGTAATAGTTATTCCAGAATAAGACTTGACAGAAAAGATCAAGCATTTTTCCCAAAAGTAGTTTCTCAACTCAGCAATTTAACTTTAGCAGTTTGCAGCAGCAATGCTGGAATAGTGGGAATACACTTAAGCACTACTTTAAGTGCTATAGTTATGAGTAAAATAATCCAAATTACTATTGCAGAATACATGACTGTAAGCAACAAATTAAAATACATATCAGTTTACTCTCTATGCAAAATACTTTGCATGCATAAGGTTTTAACATTTAAATAACTGCCTGGCTATTGGGTGGAATTCAGTGTCATTCTGGATTACTGGGGCAGAGAGAAAAAATTTCATGAACACACAGATTGACAGTATACTTTTATTAACATATCTTACAATGCCAATTATTGTATTCCTAGTTTTGTACTCTTCTGATGTGTTATAAAGATTGATTTAGAGTCTACAGTAATGTACTGTACTTAAATGATCATTCATACAGGATATCACACCAGAACATTTGAGACACACACACCACTCTAGTTTGGACCTGTTATTTTTCAAGGTTAGCTTAATAAAGTAGGATTTAAAAAGTTATGGGGGAAATAAAAATCCTTGTTTAGCAGCATGCAAGGATATTCAAGTACAATTTTTCAACCAAGACATTTTTTGTTGTTTTTAAATGGACTGGTGACTAATTCACCAGTACTATAATAACCACTATGAAATACTCAAATGTTGAAGTTAAGGCTAATAGTTTTACTTCACATCCATATGCACAATCAGAGAACATTCTGTTTTAAATAAAACACAGTAATCAAATTCTGGACACACTATCTCTCGTAAATAAAGCATTGGAGCTTCAAACTACAGATCACTCAAGTTCATGAGCCCTGTAATAATGTTATGCTGGCAATGTACAGAATCTTTTTGCTCTTTAACCACACTTACAAAATGGCCTGATATTCTTAATGAGCAATGCAAAAATATCACAGGCAGAACTTATAATACAGTATCAAAAAAGTAATATTTTGGAAAAGACACAGCCATTTAGTCAGTGAAACAGAGTAATTCTAATCTTATAGGAAGTATTGTAATACTTTTGAAATATATATATATATTTATATGTATGTATAAAAAACAGTATCCTTTATTGTAGGGTTTTTCAAATTGCAGGTATCCAGAAAAACTCATCCTTTTCCTTCAGTGTGTTCTTGATTGCTATACAGTCATTTTATTTCCCCTATACTCTTTTCACTAGATAATGATTTCCACTGGGGAATTGTTTTCTTTGTATATGAGGCTTTATCATAAGATGTTTTTATTTTACACATACAAAGTTTATTTTACACGTAAGCTGTGGGAGTCAAAACTGCCAGGAACTGCTTGGTAGTACTGTATGAAATAGCCCACAAATGTCCAAGACTTGTGAAAAACAACAGTAGCAATATATTACATACTAGTATTTTGACTATAATCTTTCCTACCTACTTACGCTATGGGTTTTAGCCCAGTTATGCCTCTTCTCAAGAATGTTTTAGTCCTCTAAGCATAAACTGTTCTGGCATTCATCCAGTGAGGCTGCACATGCACTGGTAGCTCATCTTGGCTACCTCTGTTGAATTTTCTTTTTTTATTTTTATTTTTCCTTTTTAGGAAACTAAGAAGAAAGAACAGTGATTACTTTAAACAAATACAATATTGAGGAACCTCCTGAAATGGCAGTAAAGATACAAAATTATGTTTCATTTCTAGAATAGTCTGCACATTCCTAATGCAATCATTCTGAAACATACATCTGGTTTGGAATGATAGGCAGGCTTATGGTTGTTATTCTTGTAACTGGGATCTGCTATGTTGGGCACCATACAAATTCCCTGTATACAGCAATTTCTGTATATTATCATTAACAATTTATTCAAATGATATGAAAAAAAGGAAAAGCTCCTTCCTGGAAAAAAAATGAAGACAGAATGTGTGTTCTGGATTACATGAAGAGCAGTAAGATACCTAATTTACAGGTATTTCATTTACTTATGGAGAAAAAAAAAATGAAGTTCCTGAGAATGTGTAAGTTTTCAGTAATGCCTGAAATATTTCAATAGACCTCTGTAAGTGAAATACTCTTTAAAATTCACCTTCCAGAAGAATTATTACCATGCAGTCTCATAGTTGTTTTACAGACCTAATTACAAATGCCTATCAAGTCAAAACCTCAAGCCAACACAAAAAAGGCAAAGAAATTTTATCCAACATATTTAATAGATGTAATAGACATATACACCGTTCCAGCAAAAATTGCTAAAAACTCAACTCCATGCAAAGAAAAGTAAAACCCAGAGAGCTACCCCTGGAGCTTCTAAACAACTCCAAGTAAATTTGTGCTTCTTAACAATAATGGACTTTAAATAACACAAGAAAAATAGACTACTGAGTGCAATAAGATTGCTCACACCATTTTGAGGATTTAATTTCAATTATTGTATCATTCTTTTGTAGCAACAACAGCTCATTTTGCACAGATTTCACATGTTGACAAAGTTCCATTTCCCTTTTATGCCCATACCCACTTCCACCTCGAGCCAAGGAGCTAAACTCCCATTCAGTTAAAGCTATGTCAGTCAAAATGCATTCATTCATGGTAACAGCAGTTACATGGTGGGCAAATGATGATGGCGATGATTTACAAGCCATTATAATGTGGCCCCCATCTTTTATTGATATGATCAAAAGTATGAGACACCCACTGCTGTTCAAGCACTTTGTATCTTTCCTTGCATATGTACAGGGGTTTACCACGTCTGTGGAGGAAAAAAAAAGGGAAGAAGAAAATAAATGGTTAATATGCCAAGTAAATGGAAAGATGCTTCATTACATAATCAACACAATACTCATACAACTTTTTTGCAGGGTAAACATGCATTTTTATTAGTATGGGGTTTTCATGTTTGCTTCTGGTAGTGTAACTGCCGGGACTTCCCTTCCTTACATTGGATAGCAGAATCCAGAAACAATCACTTGTTTTCTCAGTCATGTGTAGCTTGGAAGTCATGCTCCATCCCTACACCGAAATCCAACTATATTGTTTGATAAAAGGCCATACAACAACGTTGGGAGATAAGTGTTTCCCAGCATAACACAGAATTAACCATAGTTGGGAATGGCAACATAGAAATTTGTCTGCTGGACTCCTGGCATAACTCCAATGATCATGACTACACCACCTCTGGGCCAAAATATCCCCAAAAACCCAAGCCAATAAAAGTCATAAAAAATGTGTAGAAAAAGTATAAGTACTTGTTCCATTTTTCCACACAAGGAAGGTTGAGATCTATTATTATCAGTTATTGCATGTTACAAGACAAAGTTGGTCTACAAAGAGGCACCAACAATGAAACACAGCTGTAATGAAAACATTACCTAAGATCTCTGTCTTCTTCACCATGTGCATCGAGATAAACAGAACCCCAAAGGCAGAAACGATGGCCTCGTATGATGATGATTACAGATGCGTTAATCAAAAGGAATATTCCTGTCCCAGCTCCACAGTTTTGAGAATGCTGTAGTGTTATGGGTGTAGAAAGGCAAGAGTGCAAAGATTCTGTTAATATCTGTCAACTTCATAACAGAAGAAATTTTTAAAAATATACTTTGTTTTCCTTCAAATACTATGCAGACATTATTGAGTAAGAGTTTGCCAAAGGATAGCCTGCCCCAAAATTTTCCACCCAAACTAGAATTCAGTGTCTTGTGCTGCCATAACACCACCTGCATATAAAAATGTTTCCCTGCGCAGCAAGGGAGGATATTTGTTACCATGTAAAAAACTGAATTACAAAAAATAAGCAAAAATATTATGTACAATATTTTGAATTTGTTGTTGTACAGCAAACTGTAGAGGATTAGCAAATATTTTCCACAGATGGCAAAAACAGGAGAAAGTATTTAGAAAAACTTAGTATTACCTCTTTTACAACAGTCTATATTGTTAAACATTTGCTTTCTCTATCCATGCTCACAGATCTAGTCTATGGCTCTAATAGACTAACACAAATCTAATAAAATTTTTCTTTTAGCAATTCTTGTTTTGTTGAATATGTCATTTATCTCTATGACTACCACAATATATATTCATCAATTCATTTTAGCAATTAAAAATGCACCCTTCCTATATGGTTTAATTACAACTAAAAGCTATAATCCCATGAACTACAACAAGAATTAATTAACTATATGCATTTTTAATTCCTTTTTAAATAAAATTGTGTTTTCGTGAAGCTTGAAACCTTAAATGTAACTATAAATTCTACTGTAAATTTTGCCCACCCTTTATTCTTCCATCATATTAACATAATGAGAGAGAAAGGTGAGTTCAAACAATTTCAAAACAGTCCAAAATCCCTCTGACATTTTATGCCCCATTTGTAAATATCTCTCTAACAAACTGCTCTCACAGTTTTGTCAGGTCCATATAGTTCCAGTCTTCCCCTAACTGTTCAATGGAAGTAAAGAGAAAACCTATCAAAGCAAACCTTCATTACAGTCTGAAAAACAATAATAGATGTCATCCAACTCAAGCTCCTTATATGCTGACTAGAAAACTTTGCTACTGAAAAAGTCAAAGACCTTAAATCAGCACCTACATAGTTACAGTCTGTAGATCTCTAGTAGGTGGTTGGGTATCAGAAAATACTCAAATCAACAACAGACTGGTTTTTTAGGTACATGGAAAGCGAGGAAACAAACCAGAGGAAAATTAAAATAATATATGAACAACCTGAGTGTAAACAAATTTCAACTGGCTGTGAATGAAAACCACGTGTCAACATTACACACAGTGGCTTTGTAGGACTTTCACAAAAAGGAGAAATAGGTTGCTATGCAATTAAATTGCCCTCCAGAATCTAATCTAGGTGTATCCCTCAGAAATAAGCACTAAACTCTACAACTGGGAGTTAGACTAGATGACCCTTCCTTGAAGGGTCTCAAACTACTCTAAGATTACATAAACACATTTTGAAAAGAAAACCATCAAAACTAAGCAAAAAAATATCAGTAAGTGTGAGAATCAATTACAGAATTTGAATTAACTCTCTCTTACCAGTACGCATTCACAGTAGCTCTGTTGTTTACAGCATAGTCCTTTCAAGCATACAAAAGTACCACAAACTAAACAAACAGCAGGATCTTTAGGAACCTTGGTACAAACAGAACAAGTTTTTCTGTGATAATACTGAAAAATGGTATTGTAATTCTCAGGCAACTGAAGGAGGCGTGGCAAGTCCCACTTAGGTTCCTGGATAAGCAAAGCCTACAAATAAGGGAAGAATATGTATCAGTTCAGACAATTTTTTAAAACATTCATCTTTTCTAAAAAAAAACAAACAGAGAATACCAAATAAAAGAAACATGCAGTTTAAAAATAGCTCATTTCTTTTGCATTTCATAGATTTAGAAGTCAAATATCACCTTGTAATAGTCACCTGCTCCTGACTGATTACCCTACCCACATGCACTCATGTTTCATTCTTTGTAACAGGTACAAAATGGCACTAGCCTTTTCCCCAGGATGTTTTCTAAATGTGACATATTTTAAGTGCAAAAACCTTCACAGCTAAAACAAGAGGATTAAGAGTCACCTACAGGAAAGACTCTCAATCCCTGCACTAAGTTTGCTTGGCAGTATCAAGGTGTTACTCCCAAACTCTGGCACTGACTATGAAAGCTGTCTCCCAGCTAAAATTTAGACTCAAATTTTCAAAAACAGAACTGTAGTTAATCTCTGTAAATGATATTTGAAGATATCTGCCTATTTTTCAAAACTGTACTGGACACACGCCATTAAGAAGTTACCAGAACTCACAATTTTTGATAAGACAGGCACTACCTGTCTTATATACTTATATACTACTTTGAAAAGCCTAACTCTTCTCATTTGCTCATAAAATCACTGTCCAATTTTATGTTGGGTTTTTTCTTGGTTGGCGGTTGGGGGGTGGGGGTTAAAGAGAAACACGTTTTCCTTCAACATAGCAATTTTTTTCTGTGTTTATAACTGATGGGAACAGTTGTCAGATGGAATCTTTTTTGCAAGGTCCAAAAATTTTTTTACGAGTGCATGACCTTGAAACCTAAATTGCAAAAAAGAAAAAAAAAAAGAAGAGAAAGAAATACTGCAGTTGTACCTGGTTACTTTCCAATCATGGGAAGAATGCTATCAATTTCACTGCAATCTATAATGTCTAACAG